AGGACATACAGAGGATCCAGAGACACATGAAAAGATGTTCAATATCACTAGCCATCAGAGGGATGCAAATTAAAACCACAATGAGATACCACTTCACACCAGTCAGAATGGCCGTCATAAACAAAGCAACAAACAACAAATGTTGGAGAGGTTGTGGAGAAAAGGGGTCCCTAGTGCAGTGTTGGTGGGACTGCATACTGGTACAACCACTATGGAAAACAGTATGGAACTTCCTCAGAAAACTAAAAATGGATCTGCCTTTTGACCCAGCAATTCCACAGCTGGGACTATATCCTAAGAACCCTGAAACACCAATCCAAAAGAACCTATGCACCCCAATGTTCATAGCAGCACAATTTATAATGGCTAAGTGCTGGAAGCAACCTAGATGCCCATCAGTAAATGAATGGATCAAAAACTATAGTACATTTACACAATGGAATTCTATGCAGCAGAAAGAAAGAAGGAGCTCCTACCCTTTGCAACAGCATGGATGGAGCTGGAAAGCATTATGCTAAGTGAAATAAGCCAGGCAGTGAAAGACAAATACCATATGATCTCATCTTTAATAGGAACCTAAACAACAAAACAAACAAACAAGCAAAATATAGTCAAAGACACTGAAATAGAGAACAGGCTGACAGTGACCAGAGGGGAGAGGGGAGGGAATTTCAGGGGAAAATGGGAAGGGTTTACAGGAACACACGGACAAAAACTAGGAGGGTGGAAATGGGAGGGAGGTGGGGAGGGATGGGTAGGTGGACTGGAATGGGAGTAAAGGACAGAAAACTGTACTTGAACAATGATTAAAATAAAATTAAAAAAATAAAAATAAAAGGTAGATGCCCTACTTTACCTCAAAAAAAAGAAAAAAAATGAAATTAGTATCTTGAAAGATATCTATTGGGAACCACCCTGCCTGGTTTCAGAAGCTGTAACCCCTCCATAGCTAAGGATGACTGAGCGACCTTCAGACCACAAGCCACTAAGGAGACAAAGATTATCTCCATGGCAGGGGCGCTGCTTCTGCTCCTTTTTCTTCACCCTGCCTTGCCCCCAATGCTTGATCAGTTAGCCAATGACAGGTAAGATTCCCCAAGGGGAGAATGACCTAAGACAGGCATGATCATGGGGCGGCCCCAGGGAAGGACTTGCAGGGGCTATAGCAAAAGGGGGTAATGGATCCTCGCCCCTCGGCTTTGACATAGCCTGAGTTCTCATTCTGTCTTTGAGAAATCTCCTAATCTCTTGGCTGCCTTATTCCCCCACCTGCCATACCCCTGAAACAACAACAGAGGTCAGTGCAGCCCTGTTCTGGAAAGGGCAGGTTCCCTAGGGAAATCAGGTCTAAGAAAGAATATGTAAAATCCTGTGAAACTGGCTTTGTTTAGAATGTTCTCAATTAAATGATAAAGGTCCAAGCAAGGAGTTTGTTCCTCAAAATTTTATGGCTCTTTAGCTACCAGACTCTGAACAAAAAAAGCCCTCTTAGTTCTTTGCATGTTATCTATTGTTTGATCCATTAATGAACTTTACCTGTATTCCAGTGCAAAACAGACCTAATAAAAGCCCATTGAGGAAAAGGCTCTTGGCCCTTCTCCTTTGAGAGATCAGCCACCTTTCCTCCCCAAACAGATCATATCTTGGTAGACTTATTCTCATCCATGGTGGCTGGGGGGGACTCTGCAGGCGGAGCCCCCCATGAATATCTACACCCCTGTGATCACTTCAGCATTATTTACAATAGCCAAGACATGTCCATTGTTGGGTGAATGAGTAAAGATGTGGTCTATATCTCTCTATAAAAATATTATTCACCTAGAAAAAGAAGGAAATCCTGCCATTTGTGACAACATTTATGGGCCTTTGGGTTATTTATACATTAAATAAGTCAGCTAGAGAACAATAAATACTATATTATATCACCTGTAGAATAAAGGGGAAAAAAACTGTACCCATAGATCAGAGAGCAAATTCACGACTGCCTGAAGCCACGGGGAGGGGGTGGGAAAGTTTAGGAGCAATCCAGGGTGAGATCTAGTCACCTGTGTTTAAGTGTCCTGGGATTGTGGACCTGTGGAAGGTGAGGGGTGCTGGCAGGACTCAGAAGAAGTGGGTTTACTGTTCTGAGGACAGCGGGTGTTTCCTGGGCAGGAGCTCAGAACATCAGGCTCAGGTATAGCCAGGCTCTCAAGGGACCTGGGTATTACCAGACAGGGACAAGGTCTGGCCTGCAGCATGTGGGTTTTTGACTCATGAAGGAAAGATGTCACAATAGAAGTCCAGGCAATTTTGAAAGTAAGTATTAAAGCTGGGTTTATTTATAAAACAAGGAAGGCCTTAGCATAGAGGAAGCAACAGGAGAGCCTAGGCTTGTGGAGCTCTACAGATGTTATAGGAAAGAAATGAGCCAAGCTGGGGTTTGGCAGCTCTCTAGAAAGTCAGTGAAAAGGGCTCCTTGGGGACAGGTTCAGGGGGTTAGCTTGGGACGAGTTTCTGCATCCCACTTGCCCCTGGTTGATTGCTTCATGGGGACCCATAGAGTTTAGATGTGTGTCTGAGAAGGAAGAAGAGGGGGAAGAAAAAGGTGCAGGCATGCTCCTGCTAGGGGCAGCATGCCTTGGGTCCTTAGTCTTGAGGGTTTTTGACAGTAGGGAGTTTAGGGAAAGTTTTAGGGGAGGATCTCAATAGAATATTCAATAACTTTATGCTGATGCCCCCAAATGAAACTTACGCCCTTAGCTTCATCCCTCCTTGGGTGTGGCCGGCACAAACGGCACTCATTGGATTTCTGCTATTTGTGTCCAAGAGTAGTGTGATTTAAGCCATTTATCCTCTAGTTGGAGAGGAGAAGTGTAAGCCTTTTATTCTTTTTTTAAAAGATTTTATTTACTTATTTTTAGAGAGAGAAGGGAGGGAGATAGAGAGAAACATCAGTGTGCGGTTGCTGGGGGCCGTGGCCTGCAAACCAGGCATGTGCCCTGACTGGGAATCGAACCTGCAACACTTTGGTTCACAGCCCGCACTCAATCCACTGAGCTACACCAGCCAGGGCTGCCTTTTATTCTTAATTGTCCTTGGTTAGGGGAGAATGGGTTTTGCAGTTTACAGATGGCTGCAAACTGCTTGGCTGTTTAACTGTCTGTATCATCTTTCCCATTCTACCTGTCCTGACTTACTGACCTGTCTCAAGCTGGCTTGGGTTGTGTTATGTAGATGACCCACATTGACGTTTGGAAGGTTGGATTTGCAGTGGGAATCAGAAAGATGTGTGACACTGGTCATGAGTTTTAGGACTGAATCACGGAGGTGGAGGAGGATGACTGGGGGATTTGGACTAGGTATCTAATAAGGGAACTCAAGACTTAAAGATGTTACCTGTAGTTATAGTCGTTAGGCTTAAGTGATTAATGCAGGTGGAAAGCTGTTCTAGGAACTGGAATATATGGCCTATGTGTCCCCAGGAGGTTGACAAGCAATTCAACATTCCTGCCTGAGGTGGTCTGCAAGTGACGGAGATGCTATCTGAGCCATTGTGTTCCAGGGAGGGCTGCAGATGTAGAATTGTTGGTCAGCAGATAAAGAAATACCAGGAAAATCTCAGCTGGACTGCAACTCTTATCTGATTAACCTATTTTTGAAACTCCTACCTACACTTTTCTTCTTATAAAAAGTTGGTTTGAGATGAGATGTTAAGATGGTGTTTAAGGTACATAACCCTCCATCTTCTCAGATTGCCAGCATCCGAATAAAGCACCCATAAAGATTCTTTGTCTCTACTTATTGGCTCTGGTGGTGACAGGCTGCATGAACACTACAATGTTGGTTTTCATTTTCTGACAACTCTAGTAGGTTACTCTCAGGACTCTCTGGTAAGTCTGAGTGTTTGGTGGAGAGTCCCATTGGCTCCCTGGACTTGGGCCAGATGGGGCGGGGGAGTGAGCTCACGGTGCAGATCTGGAGACTCCCCAGCAGCTGCCAAGTGATTTCACTTGTGAACTCTCCTCTGATTCTCAGCACTCACTGTTGACTTCACTTTCAATTGAATTGCTGCCCCTTCTGGTTCAGGATTACAGTCCTGGATTATGACTTAGAACAGTCATCAGGGTTAAGGTGCATTCTAGTTTGTGTCATATTACAGAGCTCTGTCTGTTAGAATGGGTGGGGTAGACTCCATTCTGGGAGACAGTCTTTTGGAGTGAATTTTGGCTGATTGGTCAACCTATGGTAATGAACCTAAGAAAATATTTTTTGTTTGTGTTTTGTTTAAAGATTTTATCTATTTATTTTTAGAGAGGGGAAAGGAGGGAGAAAGAGAGGGGGAGAAACATCATTCTGTGGTTGCCTCTCAAGCATCCCCTACTGGGGACCTGGCCTGCAACCTAGGCATGTGCCTGACTGGGAATCAAACCGGTGACCCTTGGGTTCACAGGCCAGCATTCAATCCACTGAGCCACACCATCTGGGGCTAAAATTTTTAATTCTTAACTCACTAATTTTACAGAGAGAGAGAGAGGAAGGGAGGGAGACAGGGAGAAGGAGAGGGAGATATAGGGGACTATTCCAAGTGGCGTGGGGAATGTAGCCCAGCTACCACTTGGAAAGGCCAGTTGGGAGCAAGGTCCAGCACACAGGACCCACACCCATGGATAGGTTCTCCTATGGAGAATCAGGCCTGCATTGTACCTAGGCTGCTGTTGTAACCGGAAAAGACACGGGCATTCAGGCTGCCTGTCACTACCAAATCCAATAAGCAATGACAGCAATTGAATCTTTATGGGTGCTTTATTCAGATGGCTGGTGATTCAAGAAGATGGCAGGTTCATACCCTAATAAAGCATCTTCCCTTCTCTTTCCAGGCCAGATCTTTTATAAAGGGGGTGGGGGAGGACAAACAAGGTGTGGTGAGGGCTTTGAGATTCAGAAGCTGTAACATTCCTGTCCTCGGCAGTTAGCTGATCCCAAAGGGGAGGGGTGGTCCTCTGCTCTCCCTGGAACCAAGGTTCAGATGTCTCCAGGAGGTATTCTTCTACCAGTGCCCCAGGAGGTCGGCTGTTTTCCCCAGGATCCAGGATGGGCCTTATCTGTAGTTTCTGAAACAAAGCCTTTAATATACACATTATTTGCTAGATTCACAACTTTTTACCTTAAGCTAAAATTTTCTAGGTCTTGAGTCCCCTATCACTGTGAGACTTGCTTTTGCTAAAACTCCCTCACCCTGAATTGAGGCTACAAACATTTACTGCATATCTTTAAAGTAACTTTCTAAAATCTATGCTAAATCTTCCAAGGACCAGTGTAACCAGTTCAACCACTTTTCCCTTTGCATTTTCAAATATCCTTCTTCTGTGATGTAATTAGCAACATCCTCTCCTTTGTTATCTGTGAAAGGTAACCACCTAAAGCGAACCCTGCATGGTGAATGAGGACCATCCTTGATGTAATGTGCCCAGAAAAGCAATAAAAGCCTGTCCAAGCAAGGGTGAGGACCCTCTCTCAATCTGAGGGTGGCAGTGCCATCCCTCTTTCTCCATAGGACTTCCATAGTCCATGTGAATTTGTTCATTGCAGCCACAACACACAGACCCCACAGGCCAGGGTCTGCATCAGGGAGACAAAGAGAGACAGAGATAGAGAATTCCATTTATTTGTAAATGGGTGGGTTGATTCTTGTATGTTCCCTGCCAGGGACCAAACCCACAACCTTGGGATATCAGGATGATGTGTTCTTACTTCCAGATGTTGTCAGCTTCTAGAGGATGGCCTGGTTGTCCTTCAAGGGCTGCAGAAAACAAGAGAGACCCAAACTGAGCATTTTAGGAGAGAAGCAGACACGGAGAGGGATGGGGAGATGCAGGATGGGATCCCCACCCAGGAGGGCCTCAGCCTCCAGGGTCCACCCCTGCCATAGTCCCCTCTGCCTGTTGTCACCTTGAGTGAGGTGCAGGGTCCTTACCTGGCACAGACCCTGGAGATGGGAGAGGAACGGCACTGGGCCTTCATGCCTTGAACTTTCAGTCGCACGACAAACCTCCTCTGGGGGCCAAATGACTCAGGACAGCAGAGCTCAAGGCAGGGCCAGAAAGTACAGTTGGGGCCACAGAGGCGGGTCTGGGACTGGGGCAGGATGGTGTCATAGTCACAACACTTTTCCAAGGGGTCGTACATCCGGTGTCCACACATGGGTGCTGGCTGGCACAGCCACAGGCCAGAGTTCATGTGGGCCCCTGGACAGAAATTGCTGATGAGTTCAAGGAGGACCAGGCATGATCCCCACTCCCAAATCAGGAGTCTTCCATGAACCACATCCTACTCCCCAAAGGGTAGCCTCATCCCCTTCATTGTTCCCCACCCTGCACTCACCTGCACCTGCCATTGCGCACTCATTGAGCAGGAAGAGTAAAATGCAGACAGAACCTGCAAGAGAAGGAAAGGGGATTGAGGATGAGGCTGGGATTGTGGACCTCAGTGAGGGTAGGCCACTGTTGGGAAGGCTCAGTTCCAGTTTGTTCTGCATGTTTGAGTCTGGGGCCGTCTCTGCACAGGGTCCAGTTCCTGACACAGGGGCAGTCCAGACAGCTGAGCCTGCATAGCCTGGACCATTTGAGGGGAGAAAATGCTGGGAAAACTCTTGAAACCACAGTCTAGGATTCTGAGAATACAGTGCAGTTCCCCAGTTAGCAGAAGGGAAGAGCAGGTGTTAAAGATATCAGAGGGAGATCAGGAAGGAGGAAGGAAGCTGAGGTCAGAGAGACAAGGGAGAGACAGTGTGGGTGCATGGGTGTTTTGGGGACATGACTGGGCTTGAGTAGGTCTTGGAGTTGGAGCTCTTCTGTGTTTCAGCTTCTGGGCACCACGACTGTGGATGAAGTTTGAGAGAGGCAGGAAATGTAGAGAAGGATGGGGCATGAAGGTTTTTTTATAGATGTAATTACATGGCTATAATATAGAAGAAAACATATTATCTAAGATGATATAGAAAAACATTTGACCAAACCTACACTTTTATAATATTAAAAATCCAACAAAGAAGAAAGTACTGGTAGAAGAAAACTCCTCACCTGATAAAGGATATTCACAGGAAAACTCACAGCTTATCACACCTAGTGGTGAAGGACGGAATGCTCTCCTTTAGCATCAGGTGCGGGACAAGCACGTCCACTCTCACCGCTCTACTCAACAAAGCACAGGGAATTTAAGCCAGAGAAACTAGGCCAGAAAAGTAAGAAAAGGCATTCCCATTGGAAAAGAAGTAAAACTATTTCTATTTGCAAATAGCATGATCTTGCATATTAAAAATTCTAAGGAAGCTACCAACCCCCTATAGAACTAACTGACAAAGTCAGCAAAATACCAGATCAACATATAAAAATCAATTGTATACACTGGCTGAGACCATCTGAACATGACATTAAGAAAATAATTCTACTTATAACACAACCAAAAATAAAATACTCATGAGTAAATTTAACAAAAGAGTGTACTTTCTACACTGAAAACAGCAAAACATCATTGACAGGAGTTGAAGAGAATATATAAATTAATTGACATACATCCATGTTCATAAATGGGAACACTGCAGAAATTAACAAGCTGATCCTAAAATTCATATTGAAATGGAAGGAACCCAAAATAGCCAAAAACAATCTTAAAAAGAAGAACAGTGTTGTTGAAATGACACTCCATGATTTCAAAGCTTACTACAGAGATACAGTAGTCAAAACACTGTGGTAGTGATATTTAATATATACATCCATATACTTAGTATATATCCACATACCCATATAGATCAGTGGATAGAATGAATAGTCCAGAGATAAATCCTTACATTTGTGGTCAATTTAATTCTAACAAAAGTTCTAACACAATTAAATGGGGGAAGAATGATCTTTTCACCAAATGGTGCTGGGAAACCTGAATGTCCATATGCAAAAATGGAAAAAGGACAAGAAAGAAAAGAAGAGGGAGAAGAAGAGGGATCCCTTGGTATGTACCATGTACAAAGATAAGCTCAAAATTGATCATCCTAAATATAAGAGCTAAAGCTACACAACACTTAGCAGAGAAACATGGAGAAAATCTTAATGACTGTGGTGTAGGCAGTGTCTTCTTGGATATGACATCAAAAGAACAAGAAAGAAAAAACAGACCTCATGAAATGACAAACCTATGCACTGCACACAATAATATGAAGGACGTGGAAAGACAATCTAGGAAATGAGAGACAATATTTCAAATCAGTCATAATGATCAGTCAAATGAACACATTTACGAACTCTTAAAATTCCATAATAAAATGACAAATAATCAAATTTAAAAGTGTAAAAATATCCGAATAGACCTTTTCCTAAAACAGATGTACAAATCACCAATTAGCATGTGAAAAAAAAAGCTCAGCATCATTATGCATCAAGGGAATACAAATCAAAACTACAACAGGCTTCACTTCACACCCTCTGGGATGCTTTATGGAAAACAACAGAGTTGGAGAGGATGTGGACAAGTTGGAACCCTCATACATTGCTGTAAAATGTTGAGAGACTCTGGAAAATAGTATGGCAGTTCCTCAAAGAGTTAAACATAGGATTAACATTTGACCCAGCCATCCTGATCTTAAGTACATATGCAAAAAAATTGGGAACAGGTACTAAAACAAATGCCTACATATAGACATATTTTCATAACAGCATCATTTACAATAGCCAAGAGATAGTACAGGAAAAACCCATTTGTGCATTAACAGTTAGATAAACAAATAGCCATACATATGTAAAATGTTATGTTATTTAGCTGTAAGGAGGAATAAAGAATGACTAAATTCTATGATGTGGATGAATCTCAAAAACATTATGCAAGTGAAAGTTTAAAGTAACATAAAAGGTGACATATTGTGAAACTGGTTTCATTTATTTCACGTACCACTAATAGGTAAATTAGTGATACTAATCTGTCCAGAGACAGAGGGCAGATTGGTGGTTTTCAGGGGCTGGGGGTAGGAGGGAATGAGGATCAACTGCTATGTGGGCATGGGGTGGCCTCAGGCTCAGTTCCTAACTCAAAGAAAAAAGCCATTCTGGAAGATAACTGTGTGAGCTGCTCTGTTTTTCCACATGAGAGAAGAAAGGAGACAGGAGGAAAGGAAAGTCAAGGGAAAAAGAAGAGAAATGTAGTTACCCAACAGGAAGGGTTAGTGAGCGCAGCAGGCCTCACTCATCTGGATAGAACATTGATGACAAAGCATTACCCAGAGTCCCTTCTTCCCTGAGCCTGCACTGGACCAGGCCCCTAACTTGGGCACAGAACCTGGTGCAGTTGGGCTTCACATCCTGGACCTTCATCCTGATCTCAGAGCTCAAGGACTCTGCTTGGAAACATAATTCAAGGGAACAATGCTTGAAACAGGGCCAGAAAGTGCAGCTGGGGCTATAGAGGTGGGCCAGGTAAAGGGAAGGCTGTTGCCCTCAGCATAACACCACTCTGAGGGTTTGTAGGGGCCCCTACACCTGAGCACCAGCTGGCACATCCACGGTCATATATCTGGGGAAGTCAGAGCTGGCTTGGACTCCAGGACCAGTCTAAGATCTTTGGGAGCTCCCACTCTTATCTACAGTTGTCTCCTCCTTCCTCCCTTTACCTGTTCTCACCTGTGAACCCTGAGTGTGAGCCCAAGAACTCAACAATGAAAACTGCAGTGAAGAAGCAGAAGGGAAATGAGAACGATAGTGAGAGTGCACCAGCTGGTCATGGTCGTGCTATGCAAGATGACGCTGCTGAGCTCCGTTCAGTGCTAGGAGAAGCTCAGAGAGATTTCTAGGTTGAGTCTGGGTGGGGATCCAAGAGACTGGACTTGCTTGACAGGTGAGGAATGTAGGGTAGGCTCTGAGAAGAGTTAAGAGTCTAAAAGCAGCAGGTCAGGAGAGAGATTGTAATAAAGTCACAGATAATGCCGGGGTGATTATGAGGTAGGAAGCAAAGAACTGAACAGGAAAGAGAATTCAGTTTGAGGTTCAGAGATACATTAGGGTGTGATCACACATCCGCTAGAGTTGGGGCTGGAGCCCCCTTACCGAAGATCCTGGGCACCATGGGTCTTGATTATGTTCCACAGTAGTTGATGGTAGAGCAGCTGCGGCACTTGTATCCTGTGACTTATATCCCTCATGCACTCACCTGTCACAACAGAAGGGCAGGGCTGCCAGAATGGGAGGGACATGAAGAGTCATAGTTACATCCAAGAAAAAAAAACACATGAAAAATTTAATAAAGTGTTCCTCAGCCAGTTCCAATGGCTGCCACCTTCCCAAATACCATGAAACCTCAGGGTAAATACCACCTTGACACCTTTCCGAGTGATGACACATCTTCCCATGGACACTGCTGAGGGAGAAACCCAGCAGGAAAAGACTCCTTGGCACATGACCCACCAAATGCTGGCTTGTCCTCATGTTTCAAAGTCCCTCTAGTCCTACCCACAATCCACCTCCAGACCCGCACTGTCTACAATTCTTCAGAGTTAGAGGAAATTATGAAGTTGCAATGTGATCTAGAAGAGCAGAGAACATAAAAACCCTGCTAGGGAGAAAGAAAAGGGAACAGATAGATGTAGGATAGACCTCTGGGATCATAAAACAGAGCAGAGCGCCTTGTCCAAAGAAAGCCTCCACCCGTGTTTCTATGATTTTGTGTCACCATCACTGTTATTGGGATGAGATAACATGTGGGCTATTATTAGATAGACCCTCTGTTCTCTGCTGGTTTCCTCCCATGTCACAGTGAACAGCCTGGGAAGGGGTGAGAGAGATAAAACACAAACTTTAGGGCCTTGTATAGCTCATGGTTCATGGACCAACTCCTTCCTCCTCTCCTTGAAGGTATGTGCAATCCTTCACCACGAGTGGGGGATGTGCGCATGTGTGTCAGCCCTCCCCTCTTCGTTTGGCAGGTGTCTGTGAGGGCTGCTCTTTGCATTGGCAGGTTTCCATAATGTCTCCTCCTGCCCATGCCCCTGACAGGTGTCCCACCTGTGGAGACTCACCTCCCACTTACATCGCACAGCTGCTGTAAGCGCAGACCTGCAGGAACTGTGTCCCTGTTTCCTAAATTCATTGGCTTGGCACATCAATCATAATTCTTAACCTACAGGCTAGGAATTCCTGACTAAAACAGAAAGCTCTCAATAGACAATACACCTGACTATGAAGCAAAATCATAAAGGGTAATATGTGAGGAACTGGTGTTGGTGTAATTAAATTATCTACACAGAAATCTCATGAAAGCTTCAGCCAAGCCAGAGGCAAAGCTAATGGATCAGCAGTCTCAAGACAACAAGCCCTTTTTAGATTCAGACAGTTTATTGCTCACATGGGCAGTGAAAGTGCAACTGGCCAGAGGTGCCAGCTGCCTGTGTCCCTTGCACAGGGTGACACTCAGGCAGAGGGGTCCAGGTGACAGTAGCAAGGGTGGCAGGACACGGTGATGCTGAGTAGGGAAGGCCAGGCTGCATCTGAGCAGTTTTATAGCCTGAAGCTCAGTCACATGGGGGTGAGGGAGGAGCCTCAGACCTCATCCCCATTTACAGATGGCAAGGAGCAGTGTTCTTAGGACAGGGTGCCTGAAAGACAGAGAAGCAGTGAGAACAGCATTACTGCATCCTCTCTTGTCCTGGGAGAATTGGAGTGTTTCGCCAAGGTGAAGGTGAAGGTTAGCTGCACCCAATCCTTGCTTATGTGCCCCATGTGGACACAAGAAAGTATCATAGAACTGAAACCATCTCCCTACATGTACCAAAAAACAAGACAAGAAAACAAAACAAAACAAAATACTTCCTGGAACTAACCATTGAAGTTGGAAAGGTTGTAGGATCAAAGTCAACACACAAAAAACCATGTTTCTGTGCAAGAGCATTAACAGTGGGGGAATATAATTTAAAAACCATTATCATTTACCCATCCATTGAAATATTTACATGTATATGTACAATAGAACATGTACATGATGTGTACGATGAACTACATATAATGAATGAAAGAAATTAAAGGTGAACTAAATAAATGGGGAGACATTTACATTGTGATTTGGAAGATGCAGTATAAATATTAAGATGTAAATTTTCCCTATATTGATCTCCAGATTTAATACAATTTCCATCAAGATCCCACAGTAATTTTTGAAGGTATAGACAAGCTAATTCAGAGGAAAAGAAGGTAGGAGGTAGGCAGAGGTGGGTGAAGGGCATAGGGGAAGTGGGGACGGAAGGAATCATTGGCTGGGGTGATATCCATGCCCACACTGCATGATGCAGTGTGCAGATGATGTTTTATTGAGTTGTACACTTGAGACCTGTATGGTTCTCTATGTCACCCAATAAATTAAATAGAAATTTTATAGAAAGGTAAATCAAAGTACAATAGCCAAAACAATTTTGGAAAGAAAAAAAAGTGTTGGAGGATTTTCTACTCAATTTTAAGAATTAGTATAAAGCCACAGTAATGAGGATGGTGTAGTATTGACCAATGAATAGACAGAGATCAATAGAACAGAATACAAACTAGAAATAGAATCACACAAATATGGTCATCTGATTTTTTGACAAGGATATAAAAGCAATTAAAGGGGGGAAATAGAGTCAGTAAATAGTAGTAGAAGAATTAGGCATTCATATGTGGGGGGGGATCAATTTATAACTGTACCTCACATTTTATATAAAATTTAACTAAAAATGTATCTAAATGTAAAACTTAAAACTATAAATGTTCTCAAAAAAAAAACACTGGGGAAAATATAAGTGGCCTTGAGATGTGACATCAGAAACACAATCCTAATGGAAAACATTGATAAATTGCATTTTGTCAAGATTTAAAACTTTGGGGGAAAATATATGCACATCACATACCTGACATAAAACTTGTATCATGATTATTCAGCTATATGAAAAGTAGGTATTCAAGATATGTGAGAACACAAAGAGCTCTCAAAAGTAAGGAGTAAGAGCCCTGGCAGGATTGCTTGGTTGGTTACATCAAAGGTTGTGGGTTCAGTCCCTGGTCTGGGCATGAAGGTGAGGCAACCTATTGATGTTTCTCTCTAACAATGATGTTTTCTTCTCTCTCTTTCTCCCTCTCTCTTAAAATCAGTAGACATATCCTCAGGTGAGTATGTAGTAAGCAAAGTAAAATAGTAAGCAAACAAAGAATGAGGACAGAAGGGGAAAGGATGAGCAGCACTTTACAAAGAGGAAGTATAGCTGGCAGATAAGCACAGGAAAAGATGCCCAATGTCATTAGCCATTAGGGATCTGCAACTAGGACGACAGGGAAATTGCCTTATACCTATTAGAGAAATTAAAATGAACAGAGTATGGATAATACTAAGTGTTGACAAGGATGCTGAAAAAATCAGATTTCTCACACATTACTGGAGGGCATGGAAAATTGTCCAGCACTCTGGAAAAATAGTTTGGCAGTTTCTTTTAAAACTAAATATTCACTTACCCTATGACTTAGCATTCACACTCTTGGGCATTTATCCCAGAGAAGCAAAACCTTATCATCTGACATAAAAATTATATGAGTGACTTCTGGCCAAGATGGAGGCATAGGTAGATACATTTTGCCTCTTGCACAACCAAAGGAAGGACAACAACAAATTTAAAAACAAAAAGCAACCAGAACTGCCAGAAAATCAAACTGTATAGAAGTCTGACAATGAACTAATTAAAAAAAGAAACATTTATCCAGACTGGTAGAAGGAGCAGAGATGGACAGCCAGGGCAGGGAGTTTGTTGGGCAAGGCAGTGGCTGGAGGACCAGGCAGCCCCACTTTTGGGTGCAGATAAACCAAGAGGAGCAATTGGGGAGCAAGACAGACTGCAAACTCAGGGTTCCAGTGTGGGAAACTAAAGCCTCAAAACCTCTGGCTATAAAAATCTATGTGGGTTTTGACAGCAGGAAAAACTCCCTGCCTCACCGGAGAGTTCATTGGAGAGACCCATGGAATCCTAGAACATACACAAGTCCATCCACCTTGGAATCAGCACCAGAAGGGCCCAATTTGCTTGTGAGTACCAGGATAAGTGACTGAAAGTGGGGCAAGAGCTGAGTAAGTGGCATTGTGGCCTCTCTGATCCCTCCCCCACATACAGTGCCACAATGCAAGGTACTGGGTTACCCCACCCTGGCAAATATCTAAGGCTCCACCCCTTATAACCTAACAGTTGCTCTGAGATAAAGAAATATGGCCCAAATTAAAGAACAGATCAAAAGTCCAGAAAGAGAACTAAGCAAGGAAGAGACAGCCAATATATCAGATGTTCATTTCGAAACAGTTGTGATTAGGATACTCATGGAAATGATTGAGCTTGGTTACAAAATAGAGGAAGAAAGTGAAGGCTATGCAAAGTTAAATAAAGAAAAATATACTGGGAACCAACAGTGAAGAAAAGGAAACCTGGACTCTAATCAATGGTTTGGACCAGCAGGAAGAAATAAACATTCAACCAGAACAGAATGAAGAAACAAGAATTCAAAACAATGAGGAGAGGCTTAGGAACCTCCAGGACAACTTTAAACATTCCAACACCTGAATCATAGGGGTGCCAGAAGGAGAAGAGAAAAGCAAGAAATTGAAAACTTATTTGAACAAATAATGAAGGAAAAGTTCCCCAATCTGGCAAAGGAAATAGACTTCCAGGAAGCACAGGAAACTCAGAAGAGTCCAAAAGAAGTTGAGGCTTCTTCTTCCCAAAGAAGTTGGAGAGTCCCAAAGAAGAAGAAGAAGAAGGCAAGAAGGGGCTGGAAAGAAGCATTCCAAGTCATGAAAGGCAAGGACCTACATCCAAGATGACTCTATCCAGCAAGGCTATCATTTAGAATGGAAGGGCAGATAAAGTGCTTTCCAGATAAGGTCAAGTTAAAAGAGTTCATCATCGCCAAGCCCTTATTATATGAAATGTTAAAGGGACTTACCTAAGAAAAAGAAGATCAAAAACTATGAACAATCTGACAGTAGCCAGAGGGGAGGCAGGAGGGGATAATGGGGGGAATGATTTTCAAGAGCAACTATGAAGGACACATGGACAAAAACAAGGAGAAGGGTGGAAACAAGGGAGGGAGAGGAATTTGTCTGGGGTGGGGTAGATTGGTGGGGGGTGGAAATGCAGACAACTGTAACTGAACAACAATAAAAATAAATA